AATTTTTTAATAATATCAAATTCACTCTACAACTCGCCATAAAGGCCAATGGCCTTTATAAAATTTAAAATTCTGCTGGGAACAACGACGGAAAAAATATCCTGCAATTTCTTGCATTTATAATATTTCCTTCGGATCTCTCCAAAGAGGAAATTTACTTGTTAATCCTATCCGTATGCTTTGCATAGCAGTCTGTCAAAATTATTTCTTGAGAAATACTGAAAGTTTCAAAGAGATCTTCATACTTGAAGTATTCTAAAATGTGAGGATTACAACACCGGGGGTACAAAATAACCACAGGTCGTACGGATAGGGTTATGCCTACCTTCAGGTATTAAGATTTACAAACACCTGCGATTAAGCCACCCACTCAATCAAACCAGCATTTTGCAATACACACAATCCCTTAAATGCAAACCCCATGAAAGAGCCCGAAAGACACACATCTTCATAAATTTACATTACTTAACACACTGTACAGTATGGACACATTTAGAAGAAATTAAAGCGGTACTCATGAATGACAACTTAGACATAAACAGTCAAATTAAATATAAGTATTATCAAATCTTATATGCTTATTCTAAAATTAGTAGAATATTATACATAAGCATACTCATTTCAATGTCAAATAAGGATAAAATAACCCCCCCCCCCTCCCCCCCAATAAGAACAGCTTCGTAATCCCTGGACCTGACCTTACCCACCCCCAGCTTTTTTAAAACAGCCAAACTCAAAGATGACGAAAGATGTTTCGCTGTAATATTTCAGATGAAGGCCTACAACAAGGTACCCACGTGCTAATTTATTCCAAGACTTTCTGAAGCTTAAGCTCTTTTGACATTATAAACAGTCGGAAAAACAGGACAAAAAGCAATCTGTAAACCGGTGGAAAACATGTTCCATTTCAGACAACGTTCTTAAATATCTGATCAGTAAAATTCCAAAATACAGATCCCTTGGATATGGCAGCCTAATCTGGACAGGACAAAGGAGAAAGCACACCCAACATCATTAGGAAGATAAAAAGAACGAAAAAAAATCTGGAAAGGGAGAAGAAATCTAAATAGTAGATTCAGCCTCAACAGGAAAAAGGAGGACCATGGGCAAATTAGAATCAGTTACTCACATGTCCTCCGGCAGCACAGGCTGCAACCAGGCCAAACTGACCGCCTTCTTGGATAAGTCTGTTGGCAGCTGTTGTGACCAATCGCACGCCGGTTGCTCCGAAAGGATGCCCCAGCGAGAGTGAGCCGCCCCACAGGTTGAACTTGTCCATGGGTGGGGCTCCGGGCTAAAGAATGCAGAGAATTTGCTTTATTTTAGTAAGAGTTTTACAGGGTTTGGAACATATAGGAGGCATCATGGTGAAACCAGGCGCTCGTCAAAATACAGAAATCGGAGAAACAGGCATTTTTCTGCCAGTTTGGACATTTTTATCGAATTTCTATTTTTGACTCGACCTCTTTTATGTCCACATAAAAACACATTTCCATGTGAATTTTACAGAAAAATATTGATTAAAGGTACAAAATATGTCATTCTTTATTTTTTCAAGGACTCTTTAGCTTTTGCAGTCACCAAACTTTGGCGGCCATTTTCTCGCTAATTTCACCACTGAAACCAGGCGACCTCATTTCCTTCAATCGCAAATATCTTGAGTTCTTTTCAAGCTAGATGGATTTTTTTTCATGAAAAGCAAGGCAAATAAATAAGCTTTCAGGTGATACCAATAACTTCTCATGGCCAAAAATTGACGAGGGCCTGATTCCACCATTTCGTGACGCATATATATATAAGTGCCAAAGATTTGATTAGTATTAGTTTTAGTAGAGGTTTTAAGGCGCTCGCTACTGCATAAAGTCATATGAGCGCCAGAAGATTAGAGGTGTTACAAGAGAGTAACAAACACAACAAAGCAGGAGGAGAGATTTGGACAATAGATGTTTGATAAGAAAGAAGGAGCAAATCACACCAGCACCCATCAACCATCCATGCAGAGAATTTGTTTCTTTGTTTGAGTAAAGAGAAGCACATCAACACAAAAAGCAGGACAGAAACACAGGCAAAAACAGCAGTTGGAAAGAAAAGAAGAAGGACCAAGTGGCACCCTCCAATCATCAGCTGAGAATGTAGAGAAAAGTTCTGCTTGAATTCTTAATTGATTGACTGAGTAGATGTTTTATGAAACACTGCTTGAATCTGAGATAGACAGATCACTCAATGCAGTCATGATCGCAGACTGTAGAGGTAAAACATGATGTCTAACCAAAATAACAAACAAAACAGAAAGAACTGCAAAGGTGGGGGTAAGAGAATTCACTTATTTTTCTATGTCTATAGAAACTGAGGGATAGTATAAATGAGTAATTCTACAGGTTAAAATTTGTATAAAATCTTGAGGGAATAGTAACAGAATATTTTTTTTTGTCACAACGAAAGTATCTAGGTCCACACAACAATATCTTTCTTTTGGACAGTACAGCTTTATTCGTGATATAAACAGACCTTTAGAAATGGTTTTAAAAAATAACACCCATTATTTTTTAAACAGATTTCGAAGAAGACTGCCATTCAAATGGCAACCAATGGTTACATCCATCCGTTCTTCTTTTGATTTTTTAAATTTGGCAACCCATGACAAGTGACAAACTAAATCCCAACTAAATCACCAAAAGTGAACTCATTAGTGAACACACTACAAAGGTATAAATGAACATGAATACATAAACAGACATTCTCGGAGTTTAAAAAAAGTTAAGGAGAAAAAACAGAGAAGGTAACGCAGAACAAGGAGGGAGATAAAATTAGAAAGATGGGGACTGAAAGATTAAGCAAAATCAGGAATTCCACCAGAAAACTAGTTCTTTAAACCACACATATACAGATATACCAAAAACAGACATTATTACGACAGACAAATTATGAAAAAGCATTTCAAATATATGACCCACCTTGGCAGAAAGTCCCATGTACTTTGTGGCGAAAAATTCAGAGTCCAGAGCTTTCAGGTTAGCCAGAATTTGTCCCTGAAACAAAACAACAAAACTTGTACAAGTTCACAACTAGCTGTTTACTCTTTGCCATAGCTTTTCGTCTTAGTAGAGGTTTTACAGCGCTCGCAACTGCATAAGGTTATATGAGCACCAGAAGATTAGAGGTGTTACAAGAGAGTAACAAACATAAAAAAGAAGGGGAGATAAGGACGATAGATGTTTGATAGGAAAAAAGAAGCAAACCACACCAGAGCACCCGCCAAACATCTAGTGTCATAGCTTTATTGCTATGAAACGAGTTAGCAAAATTTGACAGGCTTTGAAATCAATTTAACTCACTTGCGACTGGGCCCTTTCACCGGTCACAAGCGTTGAAGACTGGCGTTTTTGGGGGTATTTCAATAAATCACCACAACTCTCAGAATTACCCTATTGTAATTATTTTTTGACACAGTAAAGTAACATTCAAGCTTAATCTAATACAAAAAACTAGAATTGTCTAAGTCTAATACTTTAATTTGCATGATTTTTTAAAAATTGGCATGAATTTAATTTTCGAAAAATTTCCAGAGACGTGACAAGTAGAATGAAATTCACTACAGCCACAAAAATAAAAGTTCAAAGTGTTCTGGTTTGAATTGTATACATGTGCAAGTGTTTGGTGAAAATATAAAAGCTGGTCTGTGCATTGATTCAGACCCATACACTGAATTACATGAGACAGATGTACGGCACGACGTTGTGATTTCGTTGCGCGAAAAACAACACCGGTACTAGTGCTAGATCTAGCCCTAAAACTACGACTCGGGCCGTGTTCGGGTACATATCCAGGATCCTAACTATTAGACACATCATATTCTGAGACACTAGAACTAGTAAAACGTACAGAAGTATAGAAAAACGGCGAAATTATGTGATTCTTGTTCATGCGACTTCTTCGACCGTTACTACGACGCGACTGTCGGATAACTATGAGCTGTATAGAAAAAAACAAAGCGCGAGTTCCGGTCTGTTCAACCCCAGTTGGGGTCACTGTCCTTCACCTTCAATAACTTAAAAACTACCGGCCCCAGAGATACGAAACGAAGTCTAAGTAGCTCAGGCTTGGCCAAACAAGGGTACGAGGCGGGTCTCGCGATCCGTGCGTGATTTGTAGAGCGAAAAAAAAATTCCAAAGTTGGTCACGCAGGTCTTGCGAGACCCGACGCGAGCGTCATGGCGGGGGTCATGCAACTGTTGTGTGAGCCGTCTGAAGTGAGTTAACAGTACAGCACTTTCAGGACAGAGACAACAATGGTTGATTGTGCGGGATCATTCATGCAACGATTAACTTTGGTCAATATAGATGGGTATAAGTTAACAGAGAATCTCGCTTTTTTTAAATTGAAAAGACATTGGTAAACGTTATTTCAACAAAGAGGGTTCAATAAATGAGTAAATATTACAATACCCTCAGCAGACTGAGAAGATCTCAAGTATAAAGACTGCAGACAATCAGTACATCAGCATGTACATGTAAAGCATTTTCCAAGACAAAAGGCAAAAAGTCAACTTAGCCAAGGTTTGATAAACAAGGAATTCCTAAGACTAGGACAAGAAAATTGTATAATTTATCTACAGCTACCAAACACCCTCAACTATTGACTTAATAATTTATAGAATTTAAAAGATAGAAATAAAAACAAAACTCACAGCAAAAGCTTCATGATATTCAAAAACATCAATGTCATTCAGGGTGAGGCCTGCCCTCTTCAAAATACGTGGGGTGGCATAGGCTGGGCTGCCAACACAAAGAGGAAGCAGAAACAAAAATTATGACAAGTCCTCAAATGACAAAAATAGCAAAACATGTCAATTGTTAACCTCTCTCCATGTCACATCGATAAACACATTGGCACCTTGCTTTATGTTGTCCTGTCCCAGGTGAATAAAAGTACATCCCTCAGACAAGTATTCCTATAAGTCCCCCATTTCTTCTTGCTATATGTTCACATGAAACTGAACGTACCTGGATATGAAGCTGTACAATATATAAGAAAGTTGTATACCATATTATCATCTGTCATCCCAAGAACACAGAAAGACAAAATAATGTTTTTTCAGGGTAGGGAAAAAGAAAAAGAAACCCCTATGATTGTGAAGTAGTACCAACCAAAAAATGTTCCAGAGTCATTCAACTTAACACAAACAACAGTACAATCCGTACACACACATGCACAACCACACAGACATTATTGGAAGCCATCCGCATGTCATTTTTTTCCCCATCCCTCAATTGTGCCTATCTGTTTGTCTCTTTGTCAAGATTTCAGTCAAGACTATAAAACAATTATCAAGTCATCATGCTCACCATTGACTCAAACGCAAAACTTATTTCATAAAGTTCAAAAGTTTCAATATCAAGGTAAACAAAATTGCTTGTAGAGTCTCACCCAAGCAGCAGCTGGTCTTTGGGGTCCTGTGCCACATAGAGGAAGTCTCTCAGGTAAGCCTTTGGCTTGAAGCCCATGGCCAAAGCTTTCTCCTCTGACATGATAAGACAAGCTGAGGCACCGTCAGTCTGAAAGAAAAGTCTTTTATTAAAAGGGAAGTCTGACCAGTGAACTGCTCGAGGAACATAGGCAATTGAGTGTAGAAATACTATATGCAACAATGGAACACAAAAAAAGTCTCCAACATCTTTCTAAAATGTGTACATCACAAAATCGATTTAAAAAAACATAATGCCTCCTTTCATACCAGTATTTCCTTCAGTTACAAACTATTTGTCGAGCTAAAAAAAAAACTGGACAATCTGCAAAACAGACTGAACTGGGAAATAAAAATACAAGGTCATTTTATCTTATTCCCAAGCCAATTACATATCCACAAAATTCTCCAATCTATCCAAAATTACGCAAAGTGATTATTCATTGCTTCTGCCTTCTCCCCCCCACAACCAGAGTTTTTCTTTCTGTCCAAAATGCACTCTACACTTCCAAAACAAAAAAGTATTTATCCTGTTTTCAGTTTACTCTAAAATTTGGAAATTCCCCTACAAAATCATAACGAAGCATTTTCACCAGATACTGTTCATACAAAGAAATGTCTGAGACATAATAAAAATTTTTTTATCGAAACATGTAATTTCAAATTGTATTAGTTTATACTTATTTACAGGAAATTTCAGACGATTTAGAGTAAGTATAACAATCTTAAAAACT